TGGGGGCACTGGGTGTGCTCACAGAGCCCTTTCCCCTCTGGGGTTTGGTCACAGCCTCAGCACACGTGGGCTGGGAGGTGTTTTTAAATAGAGTTTTACAGGAAGGAAACCCCAGGTTATTAGAGAGAAACTGGAGGATGTCAGTAAAAAACAAGAGTGGACTTGCTGGTTGGAGCAGTCCTGGTTCTCATCCTAATGAAAAATTAGGATTTCAGGGCTCCTCCTCGTGTTTTGCTGCCTGGGATTATTTTACCACAGTGATCTGCTAAAATTGTGCAATTCTCAATTAATTCCCACTCGTGAGGGATTGACCAGAACTGTCTGTGCCAGCTATCAAACCTACAGAGTAAACTCTGAGGTTCTGTTCTGCACCAAACTTCATTCTGATTTTATTTTTCCAAACCCCTTGTAAAGCTCACTTAAAGACATGGATTCTTGTCAAGAACAAGAGTATTTTAAATATTTATGGGATCTATCCTTCAGGAGTCAGTGTTCCCTCCACTTCCCACATGATGCTACCTGAGATTTGTTCTTTTCCTCACCTCCCACGTGCTTAAATCTGTTTAAAAATTGGAAAAGAATCCTTGAATAGGAATGAAAAATGTTGGCTTTTTAATGGCTTCCCCTGTAGAATAAATAATATAAATATTTTACACCAGTCAGAAGAACTAAACAAAGCACACCAAAGGATTGCAGGATTTTTATTGGATTTGATGTCTTCCTCATTAATCCATGATTTACTTGCAACCTCTGCTTGGTTTTCCAGTCCAGTGTGAGTGATGAGGCCCTGCAGGAATATTTTTTTACCCATTTGCTCATCAAGGAGGAAAACCAAATTAAAAACAAATTGGGTATTTGACTGCTATTTTAATAGTAAATTGTAGAAGAAATTCCTGGGTTTCTGCTCAGCTGTTAAGAAGCAGTGAGAAGAACTTTGAGTTGAGTCAAATCCATGCAAATGAAGGGAATCCTGGCCTTGGCCTGGAGCAGGAGGGAGCAGCCAGTGAACACTCAGAGTGTTCCCTGGAAAGTGGGAGGGCTGTCACAGCTTTCCATGTGTTGATTTAAAAATAGACCTTTTTCCACTAAACTTCCCCCTGCCAGCTCTTTTCCTTGGGTTTGATTTGATTTCTGGCCATCTGTGGGGTTTGGAGAGCAGCTCCACCCCAGCAGCCAATGGCTCTGTCCTGCTCCAGGGCACTGTGGGGCTTTGGCAGCTTTTCCTGGAGAAATACTTGGGGAAAATCCTCCTTGGTGGACTTGGGGTCTCACTCCATGAGTTCCTGCAGCTGCAGGAGCTGTGCTGGTGTGAACCTGAGCCCTGCAGGTGCCACAGGCTCCCAATTCCCCTTAGGAGGAGGGAGAATCCAGGGAACAAGATTTACTGCTCACCCAGGAGGGATCAGGGGAGCACAGACCCCAAAGGTCACTGGTGTCAGCTCAGCAGCTTCCAGAGTGTGAGGATTCCACAGAGCTGCAGGAGGGGCAGAGCAGGGTCCTGCTGCTCCCCTTGGCTGGGTTTTCCAAAGGTTTTCCATGGGGCTTCTTGGCCACAGCTCCCTCCCTCAGCCCTGCCTCTTCCCAGAGGAGGGGCAGGAAAAGAACCAGCTGCAAATGCAAATCCACATCTGGCTGTGGAAATGGCAGTGAGAGTCTTCCTAGGCTGGGAAAGGGCCTTAAATCCCATCCACTGCCATCCTAACCCTAACCCTTAAATCCCACCCAGTGCCATCCCTAAACTCCATCCAATGCCACCCTTAAATCCCACCCAGTGCCACCCCTAAATCCCACCCTGCCATAGGCAGACACTTCCCACTATCCCAGGGTGCTCCAAGCCCTGTCCATTGTGGCCTTGGACACTGCCTTGGTCATCAGAGGCTTTTCAGCCCCTCTGGGGATGATGTGGAGGTGCCTGCAGGCTGCTGAGGGTGTCTGAGCCCAGTTTTTGTCCCTCCCCAGGACCCTGGGTGGCAGCTCCGTGGTGCCCTCGCCGTGCTCCGACGCTGTCTCCTCACACCACCTGTCCCCAGCTGCTGTCACCTCTCCCAGCTTCTACCCCGAGACCTGGATTGGAATGGATCCAGCTCAGGACTTCATCCAAGTGCCTGTTCTGAAGGAAGACAAAAGCTATAGAACCATTTATAACCTGTTCCACAAGACTGTGCCAGAGACCAAATACAAGATTTTGAAAATCCTGCGAGTGCAGAACCAGTTCCTTTGGGAGAAGTATAAAAGGTAAGAGAAGGCAATTGCAGTTCTTTAATAATGGATATTCCTAGAGGAGGAATTTTATGAGCGAGATTTGTATCTCCTCTCCCAGCTCAGCTCTTCCAGAGGGTGATACCGTAACAAAAACAGCTTTTCCCCCAGCTGACCTGCAACGAATTCCCACCCTCACTTCCCATTCTGTGTTCCAGGAAAAAGGAATACATGTCCAAGAAGATGTGTGGGCTGGACAGGATCATGAACGAGCGGCACCTGTTCCATGGCACATCCCAGGACGTGGTGGACGGCATCTGCAAGCACAACTTCGACCCGCGCGTGTGCGGCAAGCACGCCACCATGTTTGGCCAGGGCAGCTACTTTGCCAAGAAGGCCAGCTACTCCCACAACTTCTCCAAACGCTCCCCCAAGGGCGTGCACTTCATGTTCCTGGCCAAGGTGCTCACGGGCAGGTACACGGTGGGCAACCACACCATGAGGAGGCCGCCGCCCGTGGAGCCCGGCAGCGTCACCAGCGACCTCTACGACTCCTGCGTGGACAATTACTTCGAGCCCCAGATCTTTGTCATCTTCAACGATGACCAGAGCTACCCCTATTTCATTATCCAGTACGAGGAGGTCAGCAGCACCGTCTCCATCTGACAGTTTGTGTTGGAGGAGGGAATAAAATCTTGGACGCTTCCTCGCTGGTGGAATGACTTGGAAGGAAGGAAATCTGAAGTGACCAACTGTGCACTTGCTGGTTGATTCCCTAGGTGGAAATTGTACATATTTTTTCCATTGTTTATAGTTGAAAATCTGTGCCTTTTGTTATAAAACACTGTTTATTTATGTTAGTAAATGTTCATGTTTCAGAATGTGGCTGTGGGTGTCATTGTTCTGTGCCTGTCACGCCCTGATCTCAACATTTCAGCATGGCCTTTTCTAGGGACTCAGAACCACATTTCATCCCAAGGATATTAAATAAGACATTGTCTCAACCACTACTTTTTATGATCACATTTCAGAGGGACTGGAAGAGAAATCACAAAATTACCCCCTGCTCATACTTTGAATTATTAAACAGGACAACACAAATACGTAATTTTCTAAAATCAAGGAAAATTAGGAAGAGATTGGCATGGTCTGTGGGGAGGGTTTAAAATCTGGAATGGCTGGGACACACAGTCTGTCACTTGTTGGTGTCCCTGCCTGTACAGGGGATGGGACAGGATGGGCTCTAAGGTCCCTCCCAAACCCCTCTGACTGTAATTTTTCACCTCAAGGCCTGTGGTTTGGATGACCCTGAGGTGTCCTGTCCTCACTGAGACCTTCACAAGGAATTGTCTCCCTGTGCAGGCTCCTGCAGCAGCCAGGTGTGGCTGGGGAGTCCTGGCTGCCCTCCAGGGAGCTCCTGTGGGGCTCAGGTGGCTCCCTGGGATGGGAGGGGACCCTCAGTGTGCTGGGGCTGTCCCCAAACCCAGCTGGGTGTGGAGCTGTGCCTGCTCCACATCAGCTTCCTGGGGTCTCAGAGATATGTTTTGGCATGGGAGAGAATTCCCTACTCCCACCAGCACCTCTCTGCTGGTTCCTCTCAGAATCACTCCTGGCTACCTGAGATCAGCTCAGCTGCAGGTGAGCAGGAGGGGAGGGCACACCCAGCTGCCTCCAGTGACCCCAATCTCTGGGGAGGCTCTTGGCAGTGCTGGGAGCTTCCCCTGGAGCTGGAGACATTGGCACGGTGGGGTGGGAGCTGCTCCTGACCCACTGCTCACATCCCAGGGAACGCTTCAGAAAGGTACCGGGGTCAGGGGGGAGGAGAAGTCACCAAGGGGCTGGAGGTGTCCGAGGTGTGGCACTGGGGGCTCTGCACAAATGGAGATTTTGGACTGATTTCAGAGCCGAAGCCATGGAATGGGGGTTGCTGTTCTCTGGGTTTGTGCTGAGTCCTTCCCTCGCTCCAGGCTGGGAACAGGATGGGAGTGGGAGGTGGGACAGCTGCTCCGAGCTGGGACTTTGTCTTCCCTCCCACTTTCCATATCAGTTGTGGTTTTTTCCTTGGATGCTGTAATGGGGTTTTTTGCTTTTCTGGGTCGTTTTCCACAGCCCCGAGCCCGGGGACTCTCCCTGGGAGGGGTCTGCCCCAACCTTCCCTTCCCACCTTCCCTGGAGCCGTGGGATGAGCAGGGAGCTCCGTGACAATGCACTCAAAATATTCCTGATGTTCCCTGAACGTGCTGAGTGTCTGAGCCACCTGCAGGGGCTGAGCTCAGGGCGGCTCCTCCTGGGTGACACAGCCCGGTGTCCCCTTCTGTGCCACCCCATGGCTCATTCCGGGCATCCTGGATGGTCCCGGGACTGGGCACGGCGGGGCCGCAGCCTTGTCCCCGTGTCACTGTCACCACATCACTGTCACCACATCACTGTCACCATGTCACTGTCACCATCAGTGCCCGGCCAGCTGAGCACTGGTGCCCCTCCATCATCCACCCATCCCGGGCTCCTGTGGGATCATTCCCGGCTCCCTGGAAAGGGGGGCTGGAGCTGTGTAGGGCAGAGCCGGCTGGAGCAGAACGAGCCCCTAATTACATGAATTAGCCCCAAATTATGTTAATTGCCTCCTGCGTGTGCCAGCGCAGTGGCACCGGTTGCTCGAGGGACACCTGGGCAGAGCCCTGAGAATTTTCCTGTCCCCAAATCCTGCTCCTGACAGGGATATGGGACAGAGCCCGGCTCTGCCAGGGGATGTCCCCACCCCTGGCCCTGTGCCCTCGCTGTCGGTGCGGTGACACAGGTGTGGTGACACAGGGGGTGGCACCTGTGCTGGGATGCTGCAATGGTGCCCAGCTCCGGCTCTCCGCCCCTCCCGTGTCCCTCGTGCCCTGTCCCGAGCTGTGCCACACCCGGGCCAGCCCTGGCCGTGTCCCTCCTGCCCTGTCCCGGGCTGTGTCACACCCGGGCCAGCCCTGGCCGTGTCCCTCCTGCCCTGTCCCGGGCTGTGTCACACCCGGGCCAGCCCCTCCCGTGTCCCTTGTGCCCTGGATAAACCCAGCTCAGATAAATCCTTCCCGTGCCTCTCCCCAGCTTTCGGTGCTGTCACTGATGGAGAGCTCCAGGATGACACCGCGTGACAAGGGAGGGATTGTGACAAGGATGTGGCTGTGTCACTGCCAGGATGGCCACAGTGACACCTTTGGGAAAAGCCCATCAGGGAGCTGGTGGCCCTGTGGGGGTGGCACCAGTGGTGGCCTGGCTGACAGGGACCTGCTGGCGGGGCTGGGCATAAATGGAGCTTCTGTTCCTCTGTGGGGTGTGGAGGTACCCAGGGGGGACTTCCTGGGGACCCTGTGCTTGGGGACTGGCAGGCCAGGGCAGTGATGAGGTGACAGTGAAGGGTGAGGTCACCTCTGCTGTGCCTGGGATTTGTCACAGCCTGTTCTGGACAGAGGGATAAAGGTGCCCCAGAGGCCGGGAGGAAGGAACAGCTTGAGCAGGAGCTGATTTGGGAGCTGGGCAGAAGGGCAGGAGCTGTTCCTGGAGGAGATTGAAGTGTCAGCACCCCAAAGGTGCCCTGGGGACAGCCAGACCAGACCTCCTTCCACAGAGCACTGTGCTGCTCCCGAGGTAGCCACCCTAGCCAGGGGTGGGGGACACCACAGGGACCCAGCTGGGGCTTGTGCAGGGATTCTGGGGCTGCCCAGGATAACCTGGAGTGGGAAATGTTCCCTGTCCCTTCCTTCCAGGAGCTGTGGGCTGTCAGGCAGAGCTCTGTGGGGCTCTTTGGGGAAGTGGCTTCGAGGAAGGTGCAGGCAGTGGGTGCTGGGGATGGGAAGGAGCCCTGGGAGGTGTCCTGGCAGGGGGAAGGTGCCCTGGGAGGTGTCCTGGCAGGGGGAAGGTTCTCTGGGAGGTGTCCTGGCAGTGGGAAGGTTCTCTGGGAGGTGTCCTGGCAGGGGGAAGGTTCTCTGGGAGGTGTCCTGGCAGGGGGAAGGTTCTCTGGGAGGTGTCCTGGCAGGGGGAAGGTTCTCTGGGAGGTGTCTGAACCAAGTCCTGCTCAAAGCAGGGTCAGGGCTGCATTGAGCCTGCACTGGGAAACTGCAGGGCTGGAGCCTGCCCAACTCCAACGTCCCTGTGAGGGGTAAAAACCCCCTTAAATCCAGGATTCTGGATGATGTTCCCCAGCTCCTGGTGTCCATGGGCTGCAATCCCTGCCTGTGATTTCCAGGCTTGCAGCAGGGGCTGCAGGAGAGGTGCTGGAGATGAGTGAGACCATGGTTGGATGCAGTGAGAGGTGCCAGGGCTGGGGGGCTCTCCCAGGACTTCCAGAGGATTTCTGTGGCTCTCCTAGAGTTTTGCCTGGGATAAAAAACCCTTTGCTTTCACCTCTGCTGGGAGGAGCAGAGTGAGATAAGGTTGGGGTGCCCTCGGTGTGGCAGCAGGGTGGGCACAGACTGGCCCTGGGTTTCCTTTTGCTGGAGGGGAATTTGGCACCTCGTGAGGGGCTGAGTCATGGGAGGCACAGAGCACAGCACACCACGAGCCTCGTGATCCCAGCACCAAACCCCTGCCCAGCCTGCGGGCAGGGAGCTTTTTATTTGTAGTTTATCATGTGGAAATCTGAGGTTCTCACACAGGGGTGAGAACTGGGGGATGGACACAGGGAGCACCTCTGGCTGCCCCCGGGGTTTCTCCATCCCCACCGTGTCATCACCATCCAACCATTGCAGCACATCCTCTGCATTAATATTTATTTTTCTCTTCTGGCTACAAAGTCTGTTTTTATGAGAATAATTTCCCACAGACCCAACAACAAATGTCAGGTTGACCTAAGGGTTGTTGTTGCCTCAATTTTCTTCGGGCTCCCTCTTGTCCAACCAGCCGGGTACAAGTTGTCTCATGCGTAATTAGGCTGTGATAAATCATCTCCTGCACGGGGAGCACATTCCCATGTGCTGATCCACGCTGGGCTTTGTTTGTCTGAGCACTCTGTGCACTCCCTGTACCTCTGCACTCAGCAGGGCCCAGCCCCTGCAGCTGGATGGGGACAGCAATCCACTGCACAGCCACGGATTGCAGCTGCTCTGGGCTGGAATCCTGGCAGGACACGGCTGCAGCCTGCTGGAGATGATCCAGAGAAGCTGCGGCTGCCCCTCGATCCCTGCAAGTGTCCCAGGCCAGGCTGGACAGGGCTTGGAGTACCTTGGGACAGTGGGAGGTGTCCCCAATGGCAGGGGTGGGATGAGATGGGATTTAAGGTCCCTCCCAGCCCATTCCATGGCTCTGTGACCCAAGATGTCCATGCAGAGGGTGGGTCTGCTGCCCAGCTCTGGGCCCAGCCTGGAGACTGAACATCTCTTTCAGTCCATCACTCGTGGTGGGCAGCTCCTCTGTTCCCACCTCTGCTCTCCTCCAGAGCAGGCTGCTCCAAGCCCTGCCCAGCCTGCCCTGCTCATCTGCTGCCCCCAGGACGGGTTTTCACTGAGAACCATCCCAAACACCCTGAGCTGGGTCACAGGAAGGACAGGACAGGGAAGTGCTGCAGTAAATACCACTATGGAATCAAATTCCTGTTTGTTTCCCATGAACTCGGTGTTTGCACAGTCAGACCAAAGGGCTTTGGCTTTCACTGGGATGCAGCACCGAGGCCAAGGCACCAACTGATGCCTGGTCCAGATAATCTCAGCTGGGATCTGCTGAGCTCACAAGTCTCCTGCTGACAGAGATGTTCCAGGTGCTTTCTGTCTCACTCCTGCCCATTTTCCAGAGCATTAGGCATGGGAAGCACATTTCAGAACTGTTTGATAAAACCACACAAGTGTTTATAGTGCCCACATTTGTACCACATTCTGGAGGCCATTGTAGTGCACAAAGAGCAATAATT